TCCCTAGTGACCAATGAGTGACCAGACACTAGCTTCTTCTTCAGCTATCTTCTTCAGCATTTTGTTGCAACCCATAGTACCTTGCGAGAAAGTGTATAAAAGTTTCCCTGGCCTTTGTTTAGGGGCCACTCCCCACTGTTCTGCTTTTCTCTTGGGAGTAACCCAGGCATATGCTTGATAAGAATAAACTTCTTACTCCTCCATGTGTGAGACTAGACTCTCAGTGGTAATAATTTTGGCCCTAACAGTGACACATGTCCTCAGTATACCTAATAAGGCAAGGATTTGAAAAAGGAGGATGTCAGACACAGGAGCTTGGGGCCCTGCAGTGAACACAGCAGGCCTGGGACCATGCATTCAACAATTTACTAATGCCTCCTATGAGCCAGACATTGTCCCAGGGATGGGAAATACAGCAGCATATACTATAATCTCTATAATTTGTTTATTTTTATTTATCTCTTTTATTCATATTGCCTTCCCATCAGTTTATATGTACACAGAAATGTCTGAAATAATTTCATCAGATATTGTAGCTGGCTTTCCATTTTGTGGCTTTCATTATTGCTTGAGTTTTTAATATAGTAAGCGTGTATCATTTTAATTGTTTAAAACATTTTTTTATGGAAACAGATATGAAGAGATAAGCTAGAGAAGGGAAATCCCATGATTAGCGTGCTCAGGTCTGAGATGTGTTTCCTCGTGCACTGGAGTTATGGGGGGAGCAGACGGAAGAATGTGTCCATGAATGGGACAGTTCAGTTTATGGAAGATACAGGAAAATTGCCTGAATATGTTAGTTTCATTGTGACTTTCCATCTGTATTGGAATCAAGAGCAAAACACTTTTAGTCCATATCTACAAGTCCTTTCTCTACATTTGTCCTCACAGAGCTCCTGGTGGAGATTCATTAGCGCAGGGAAGCAGCCAGTCCTATCTCCTCCTGCTGTCATTCCTGAGAATGGTGGTCTCACCTTCTCACTTGAGTATGGAAGCTCACAGCAACCTCAGAAAAACCTCAGAAAAAAAGCCTGAGCAACCTCAGAAAAAAAGCCTGTGTCATTTTAAGCCCTCTGTCTTCCTTCCCCAGCTTCTCCCCCTGGCAGCCCTCTTTCATTCACGTATGAATAGCCATAGACAGTTAGGACAGTTAGGGTCAGAGTCCTCTATGCCTGGCCCTTTCTTCTTCCCTTTAGTTCCTAACAGGGAGGTCTAATGGTAGACTCCAAACAGTGATTTTGCTAAGGAGGAATCAATGGTTATTATAAAGGGGTATGAGCTGTGTGTGTGTGTGTGTGTGTGTGTGTGTACATGCGTGTGTGCGCACAGTGGGTGGTGGATACACAGCAGGGGTTAGAGACATGAGAAGGAAAGGAAAAGGAATGTGGCAAAATTGCTGCCAGTTCTAATATTTTCAATTGGTTGGTTTACTTACTTAAACTTCACATCCTAAACATCCTTGATTTGGAGTTCTTATCGCCTACCTTTATCAATATAAAGCCTCATGGTGATGCCTGTGGCTCAAAAGGGTAGGGCGCCAGCCCCATATGCTGGAGGTGGTGGGTTCAAACCCAGCCCCAGCCAAAAAAAAAAAAAAGTGTGTGTGTATATATATATATATAATGCCTCAAAAATGAATTTCTTAGGCTAGGGTGACACATGTCCTCGGTATACCTAATAAGACAATTTCTGCCATGTCTGGTGTCAACTCCCGATTTTGCCCCTTAAATGCATCCTTGGGGGAAATTACTCAACTTCTGCCTCACTTTCCCCTCTACAAAGTTGGAATAATGAGTCATTGTAAGGATTAAACAAATTAATGCACTAAAAGTGTTTAGAACAATGCCTGGCACCAGGAAATGCTCATTAACATCAAACATTTTTCTCATTCCCTACTGTCTTTGCCATCCACTAAGTCTTGAGTCCGTTCTCACGCTCTGTCCACCCACTCGCCTCCAGCTTATCCTCTTGAGCCCATGCTCATTTAAAGCCTCATCATAGGAGCTACCTGGTTACAAAAAATACTACTGAACCCTTCCCGGACATGTCTGTTTTACCCCTAAGTCACTGACTCTCCTTCCTTCATAGGTTTCTTTGTGAGTTCCTCTTTCCACTCATTCTTCATGCTCTCCATGATTTTGATGACCACTTGTTTGCTCTTAACTTCCAATTGAAAATCTATTAGTGGAACTTTACATTTGTTTACTCTGTCACCTGCTTGATGTTAAGCTTTTAAATTTCTCAAAAGCACCCTCAACATATAAGAAGGAGAGGCAATTTTCATTCTGGCTACCCATTCCCATTGGGTGCACAGCACCAAACCCCCTTCCATTGAGGTCCCCAATCCACTTAATGGCACTGTCATCTTACTAGTCACCCATACCAAATGCCTATGATGCAGCCTTGATAACACTACTTCTTAATTCACCATGTTCAACTAATCACAATCTGTACATTTCAACTTCTAGATATTGCTCTAACTTGTGCCCTCTGTCCCATGGCTACTTTTGTTGGAGGACTGGCTAATCAAAACCAATAGACTCTCACCAAAGATTGCAGGGGAAGGAATTTTATTTGCCCGATGGGGAAACTCAGCAGGCCATCAGCCTTAAAGCACTGAGCCCCACCAGACCCTCCCACAAAGCCCTTTTATACAATTTTAGCTCAGTTACCATTACAGAGTTATAGCTACAGATGTTGGGCTATGGGAAAAATTTTTAGCTAGCAGGCAAAAATCATAAAGAATTAATGAATATATTTCTTAAGAAACCAGAATGCTGTTTCATAGTATCTTTCAAGGTTACTTTTGCTTGGTGTTTCTTATAAAGTTCTTTCTTATCTTTGGAGGTTGGGTTCTTCTACGCTGTCTGCTGCATTCTCAGTACCACTAGGATGTGCAAAATCTGTTTCTCCTTCCTCACCTTTGTCACTGTATTATAACTTGAGCATCTTTTACCTAAATACTACAAAGAGATCCCTCTGGTATCACCACCGATAGTCTTTTCTTTCTCAAGACTGGTTCTCCACATTGCCAATAACCTATGATACCTGCGATTGAAACTTTTTTTTTTTTTGAGACAGAGTTTCATTTTGTCACCCTCGGTAGAGTGCTGTGGCATCACAGCTTACAGCAACCTCCAGCTTTTGGGCTTAGGCGATTTTCTTGCCGCATCCTCCTGAGCAGCTGGGACTACAGGCGCCCGCCACAACGCCTGGCTATTTTTTGTTGCAGTTTGGCTGGGGCTGGGTTCAAACCCGCCACCCTCAGCATATGGGGCCGGCGCCCTACTCACTGAGCCACAGGCGCTACCTGCGATTGAAACTTTTTACTGCATTCTGGATAAACTCTAAGTTTATCACCATAGCACACAAAATCCCTTCTGATCTAGTTTCCAGCTGTATATACTGCCAGTCCCATTTATATGACAGTTCTAACCAACTTTTATAGATTTTGTAATTGGTGATTTGACAGCCATTTATCACAAGGTCAGACTAGCAGCCAAAGTTGTTTACATTTTCCCTGTGCCTTAGCTTTTAGGGGAGTGCTTAAATTATATTCTGAACCCTCCAAACACAAACCCTAACAACTATATTTCACTTCCTGCTCAGTCAAAAATGTCTCTACCCAGCTATTCCCTGACACATTAGTAATAAAAGTTCCTCTCTCTTTTCCTGGTCCCTGTGTGGGGTGAGGTTTCATGTGGCCCTGTGTGGTGTCAACCTAAGTAACAAAACAATGCTTATTCAGGAATAGGCAATGGGAATACAAGCACCTTGTAAACTATGTCCACATAGAGGGAGAGGGGATAAAGGAAGGCAAAGGTTTATAAAGGAAAAATGAAGAGGATTACATAATTGTTTTTTAGATAATTTTCTTTGGCTACAATGATCAATAATAAGGGTGGTATCAGTCCAACGTTGGACGGGCAGTTGCTGGACAGATATCCTCGCAGAAGTATTTTTGTGTATAAAGTTGTGATGGACCATGTGCAACGCTGATCGTTTGTTATCAGGCATTTGTGGATGAGAACCGTGAAACACAAGCGACTCCATCTTGATTCTGACAACTTTCACAGTGGCAATGTGAAACTCTGAGTAATAAACTTCTTTCCATCTTTCAACGACATTGTTGTGGCCATGATGTTACTCAGTCATATCTATAAATTAAATCATGTGTACATTTTTAAAACAATGAAACCTGTTTAATGACTGAACCCGCAAACTAGGACCCTTTTAGGCTGTCCACTTGAGACCATCAGAGATGTTTTATTTGGGCCACAAGGTTTTGAAGGAGGCTTTCAATTACCTGCAACAATTTTAAAAGTGAAAATTTCCCATAAAAATTCACCTTTATGGCTTCTCTTCAAAACTAGGAAGAACTGGCCACCCAGGTGTCACACCACCTACCTGGCTTGACAGGGTCTGGCCCCTTCCTGCGGGGATGACCACTGCAGTTTCCAGTAGTCACCAGCTGTCCGGGGCATTGGTTTTCCTGGTCGCTTCCTTTAACGCAGACATTGGAGTTTTCAGCCCTAGAGTAACAGTGTTGGTTGAATTACTCGTTTCCCGAGCACGTCAGTGGCTTTTACTCATTTTCCAGAGGCTAACAGTTCCAGTTTCTAGCTGCTGTTCCCTGAACTCATGATGGACATCGCGTCCCTTCGTGTATTCCGTATCCCACCGCGCGTACACCCCGCCACATTCAATCCTCATTCAATGTCTGTAGGAAGTTTGAGCTCACAAGTCTCTCTTCGCTTAGCGACTGACTGGAAATCCCCAGTGGAAACTTCGAGAGCCATTCATTTTACTGATTTCATCAGCTTTTTCAATAGCCACAAATAAGAAGGAGACGGCTGACACACCCACATTTTAAAGGATAAATGTAACCCTTGTCAAAGAACCAGTCTGTAGGAGCGCGGCGTACCAGAGAACTACAACTCCCGTCAGGCACTTGGGGAATCCACGGCCTAAAGGCGAGAGAACAGCTTAGGAACTACCACTCCCGTGAGGCTTCGCTCCCCGCGCCTGCGCAGAGCCCAGGGCCACGTCGCTTTTGCGGCGACAGCGACCACGCGCCTCACCCATGGCTTCCGCGGACTCTCGCCGAGTGGGGGATGGCAGTGGTGCCGGGGGCAACTTCCAGCCCTACCTAGACTCCTTTCGGCAGGAGCTGCAGCAGACAGACCCGACGCTATTGTCAGTAGTGGTGGCGGTTTTTGCGGTGCTGTTGACGCTGGGTGAGGAGGCGGCTGGTGGTTATGGCGGGTGCGGGGCCGACTGGAGTCTGTTTTGGCTGCACTTCTGCAGGCCGCGGACCCGGGGCTGAGGTAGCACGTTGGGGACGTCTAAAGAGCAAGATTCACCCCTTCTGCCATGCCACACTCTCGCTTGAAGCAGTGGCCGCAGCAGTGTGTTAAAGGAGCATCCCGGGCGGCCCCCGCAGTGACGTCCTGGTCCTTGGGGCACGCCCCTCTTGTGCCTGAGCGCGCGGTTTACCTCCTTCCACTACTCTCACTGCTGAGCTCACCATCTGTGAGCTTCCTGTGTATGAGTTGAGTGCGGGGAATTCGAAGGTAATAAGATAGCCCCTGAATCCACAGTAAGGAGTGCAGACGAAGAATAGCGACAGCTGTTAGTAGGTGGCACTCAGCGGGTCCCCGTTACAATAGTTACGGTTATGATAAAAATCATACCCACATATGCTGATTATCAAGGCGTAATTTTGGTTGCTGTTCTGTTTCTGTTCCACAGTGTTCTGGAAGCTCATCCGGAGCAGAAGGAGTAGTCAGAGAGCTGTTCTTCTTGTCGGTCTGTGTGACTCCGGGAAAACATTGCTCTTCGTCAGGGTAAAGCTTTGATTGACACCTCTGATAAATCTCTGTTAAACTTCATAGAGAATTTTATGGCATCCCAGTATTCTTGTCATTTCATGGTGAAAGGAACTGATGTTGGGACATTTGGGTGTTAATTCTTGACTTGGGAGTTACAAAAAGATTTTTGGAAAACCCATAGACTAGAATTAATTCTAGTTTCTATTTTTTTTTGCCCTTGCTAGATGATGAGACTTAACACATTTAAGGATTTTATATAACTAGTTTCATTCCAGAATCGCTGAAGACATAGAAGCCAGTAACCTATATACACATTCTAATTCCCTGGTTAACAAACCCTCTGAGAGCTTGTTGAAGACATTTTTGAAAAGGATAAGCCTTCTGTGACATAATGGGCTAGTTAGGCTTTTTTTCATGAGTATTTATTTTTTAATATCTTTAGGATTTTTAACTGTGTTTTACTGTAGCAAACAGGAGAAGTTTTCTGCTTTTTACTTGTCCTTTTGAAAGTATAAATTATGTCCCTTTCACTAAAGGACTGTAATCACAAATTGTTTTTAGTAGTTAAAAATGTTTACAAAACGTTGGTAAATTTGACCACTATCCTTTGAAAATAATGTTGCTTTTCCTTTTGAGGAGAGGGGAATGAAATTTATAATTAATTAGATTTTCCTCCAGGTTAAAAGAAATATGGCATTTTAAAGCTATTGTAAGATATTACTCAGTTTGGATCAAGTTTACTCTGACTCTCCCATCTTGTTTTTTTTTCTTTTTTAACAGTTGTTAACAGGCCTTTACAGAGACACTCAGACATCCATTACTGACAGCTCTGCTACATACAGAGTCAACAACAACAGGGTAAGATGTTTGTGGAATGTTGCAGTCTGACAGTCTTCTTTACTGTGGTGTCTCAGGGATATTTTTAGCAAGAAATAGTCTGAAGATGTCAGTGTATTTTTAGCTTATTTTTATGGAGGAACATACTCTACTTGACAGATTCTGCCCTTGACAATGCATGCTGCAGATGTAATCATGCCAGGTCTGCTTTATTGTGTCTCATGTACAATAATGTTGTATGTACAGAGCACATTTTATTCTTAGTTTTTGTTTCTGTGTCTTTTTTACAAATGTACTGCCTTTTCCTTTTATGTTTTCAATAGGTAATACGTGTACATGGAACAAAAATTCAAAACGTTAGGAAGGATATTTAGTGAAAAGTAACTTTTCCTTTACCTTCTAGGTGTTCCCTGCATAGACAAACACATTGATATATACTTCAGTTTTTATTCTTTCTAAACATTGTTCTGCCAATTATTTTTTTTCATTTAACAATATGACTGACACAGCCGATTGATTAATGAGGTGCTCTACCATACAGTCAAACTGTTATTTAATCAGAGCCGTATTAACAGAGGATTTTGTTTACTGTTACATTCTTTTGCTTTTACAAATAATGCTATGATGATATCTTAAACAGCGTATATGAGTGTATTTCAGAAATACCCAAAAAGAATCATGGGAAAGACTTTTTATATACCTGTGTAGCTCCAGAATGTGGACAGTGACTACAAGCCAATTATAATGCTTAGTAAGTTTTGATGAGTGAGTGGAGTGAGGGCTGGGTAGTGGGTTGGTGGGGTAGATGGATAGAAGGATGAATTAGAATTGTCGTCTTAGAGACTTTTTTCCCCTTCTTCTTGTGTTCCCTCTTTCCCTTCCTGGAGCCTCTAGAATTAAATATTGTAAATAAAGATAAAGGGACATCCTTTTAAATGTCTTAGAAATACCTTCATTTTTCAGTGATGATAGTCTTTCAGGCCTAAACATTTTTAAACTCCCATGGATTTAGATTTTTAAATTTCAGATTTGGAAGATCATTATTTTTTTGGGTACCTGTGCCAGATTATTTACATGGGGTATTCCAAAGTGTGCTTTGGACCGGGACCTACCAGTGTAGCTACTATTGGCCATCTGTGACTATTGAGCACCTGAACCGTGATTGCAGGCAGTCTCCAGGTTACAAACAAGATAGGCTCTGTAGGTTTGTTTCTGAGTATGTATGTTAGTTGAAACAGGTACATTTACCTATTACCTGTAGTAGCCTCTGTTCATAAGTGTGAATTGTATGTCAGTTGGATGTTTGTAACTTAGGGGCTTACTACAGTAGTCTCTGTTCATAAATGAGAATCGTACGTAAGTCAGATGTTTGTAACTTGGGGACTGCCTGTGGTCCAAATTGAGGCGTGCAGTAAGTGTGCAGTATATACTGGATCTTGAAAACTTAGTATGAAAAAAGAGTGTGAAGTAAACATTAAGGATTTCTTGTTTTTTTATTAGATGTTCAAAAATAATATTTTGGACATATTGGATTAAATAACATTAAAATTAATTTCACCTGTTTTTACTTTTTTAATATGTTACTAGAAAATTTAAAATTAATTGTGTGGCTTATATTTCTATTGAATACATAGAACATTCTTCTTATTTCTTCCATTTCTTATCTCCTTATGTTTAAATCTAGTCTCTCTAGATAGTAATGTACCTAGTACTCTATCTTCTGAATTGCTTATGGTACATGGTGCATGCTGCTTTTTGGAGCAGTAGGTCCCAACTTGGGGTCCCCAGAACATGAGGTCAAGAATAAAAGTTTGGAATGGTGAATAGGATTTATTAGGGTTGATAATGGGATTGCTTATTAGGGACACAACCATATCTACATTAAACATGAAGTCAGAGATGAACGCTTTTAATGTCAAATCGGACTTAATAGGGCACACAATAGGTTTCTTCAATAGGGGCTCAGGAGTTGGCACAAAGCCAGATGTGGTGGCTCACGCCTGTAATCCCAGTGGTTTAGGAGGCTGAGGTGGGAGGATTACTTGAGGCTAGGTTTGAGACCAGCCTGGGCAACATAATGAGACCCCCATCTCTTAAAAAAATGACATTTCTGGTAGACAAATATTTAAAAATTAAATCAAGGGTGGGAATGGTAAAAGTATGTCTTATTATAAAGATAGGCATACCCATAATAGTAACATGCTCCATGATAAATTGTAGGTTCTTGTATTACATTATTAGTTGGTGAGTACTTGGAACTATTCCTCATGTGTTTTTGTTTTTTTGCATTCATACTAATACATCTCTGAAGCCTCATATAGACCATGCTTCTCTGACACCTCTCCCAGACAGAGTCAGGTTTTTCATGTACTCTCAGAATGTTTATTAAAGTTGCAATTTTATATTTTTATATGTAATTTTGTGCTGTGTTCATTTTTCTCATAAATTGTGTTAGAGAAGGAACCATGTCTTTACTAGACTGTTATACGCCCAGAACTTTGACTGATGTTTTATGAGTAGAAGGTGCTCCTTGAACATTTGTTTGATGTATTAATTAATCACAGTTAACATTTGTTTGACTCATTAAGTAATTAGATGCTAGTCTGGTACCCAAAGTCTAGTACTAAAGGTTTATATTGTGAACATGGGAACTGGACTGAAACATTAATTTAATATTATTGCTGCTATCTGCAGGGCAACAGCCTGACCTTGATTGACCTCCCTGGCCATGAGAGCTTGAGGCTTCAGTTCTTAGAGCGATTTAAGTCTTCAGCGAGGTAAGTAGGAAGGAAGTGAAGTGGGCATGTGTGAAGTCTGAATGTTGAGGCCACAGAGACCAGTCTAATTTTTGTTCTGGTGATATTAGGGAGGCAGCATGGTATCCTGGAGTAGAAAGAGGGTAGACTTTGAGGTCAGCCAGTTCTGGATTTCAAGCCTTCCCACACTTGGGTGATGAGGATTATGTGAGATAAATGCTTAAAAAGTGTTTCACAGTATTTAGAAAATGTTAACTATTATTAGCATTGTTATTAAATTTTGCATTTACTCTAAATAACTATAATGGCATGTACAACTGAAAATCTGAAAAAATAATTTTAAAGCTGAGATGGATCCTAAAAGTTACTAAATCCAATATTATATATGTCTATATATCTATTCTTAAGTTACCTAAATTTGATGCTGCAAGAAATACAGAATAGTATTTTCATATTTCTTTTAGTATCTGCTTAAGTGATATTGACTCTTAAGTTCTTTCCTAAAATTCTTATGCTGGAGTTTCAGACATTGAAGATCTGAAGAGGAAAATCAGTGAGCCACGTTTCAGTGATTTGAAGACACATTATATTCTGAATTTGGAATACATCTTAACATTAATGCTGTTATAATAGTCTTTGAAATAATGTGTCTTTTAATTGATGGCATCTTAGGTTTTTTGTGATGGAATGAAGTTGATTATTTCTTTTTTGTTGAAGATGTCTAGACTGAGATTTTGTTATTGCTTCCTTACCCACAAGGTGGCAGTGATGAGCAATTTGTCACAGAAAAGAATACGGTTTTTTATTCCTCACATGATCGAGCCAAATCTGGAACTGATGAATTTTGCCATGATTGGGTATTTATTCCCAATTAAAAGTTTTCTTCATGGGTGGTGCCTGTGGCTCAGTGGGTAGGGTGCTGGCCCCATATACCGAGGGTGGCTCGTTCAAACCTGGCCCTGGCCAAACTGCAACAAAAAAATAGCCGGGCCTTGTGGCGGGCACCTGTAGTCCCAGCTACTCAGGAGGCTGAGGCAAGAGAATCACCTAAGCCCAGGAGTTGGAGGTTGTTGTGAGCTGTGTGACACCACAGCCCTCTACCAAGGGTGATAAAGTGAGACTGTCTCTACAAAAAAAAAAAAAAGTTTTTTTCCTTTTTTGTTATGAATTCTAAATATTTTGTAATTTGCAGTATAATTATGAATTTTACTGCAGTACAATTACAAAATTACAGCCACTGTGCCTGGCTAGTTTTTCCATTTTTAGTAGAGACAGGGTCCTGCTCTTCTCAGGCTCGTGTCAAACTCCTGAACTCAGCTATCCACCTGCTTCAGCCTTCCAAAGTGCCAGGATTATAGGTGTGAGCCATGCGCTCAGCCTACTTACTGTATTCTTCATTTCTAAAATACTTCGCCTTTTCAAATCAGCCTGTTTGTTTTTATACTATTTTATTTTTATTGTGGTTCTTAAAATTATTCTCCTTAATACTTTTGAACAGACTTATTTTATCGATTGCTTTATTATTTCTAGTTTAGGGATGCTGATTCTTCTTTTGGGGTGCCAGTTATTTTTCCTCATAATTATTTATTTTCTTTTTTGCATTATAACTTGATCTAGAGTCCTTTATCAAGGGAGATGTGTTGTTGATATTGTGGTTGGTGCTCTTTAGTACTTTAGGATAGGAAGGCCTTGTTCTACAAGGGGTTCGCATTTCCTACTCTTGGAGCCACAGGGGTGTAGGATAGAGCATAGGGTTAAAAGTGCTAGGCACTAGGGACAGAGTGATCTGGGCAAAATCCAAGCATCACTGCTGGCTATGCGTACTAAAAACAATTCTCACTAACACAGCACACTATCCCAACCCTAAGTCACATATGGACAGTGATAAGATTAAGGAAAGACAAAAGTGCAGTAAACAGAATGTGTTCAGAGGTCAATCATGCAGCTAAAGATAAACTGTGTACTTGTTTTTTAGCCTTTACTCTCTCTTTGAAGCTTTCTGCTGTGCTGTCTTTTCTCATGCCTGAGACTTCAATAAAAGCCAGTGAGGAACATTGTCTCTCCTTGCAGAGTACTTACTGGTGTTGGCATCCTGGGTCCCTCAGTTTAATGTAAATGGACTGAGTAGGTGTTATTTCAGTGAGTCTGACCCAGTTTTTATGTAAACTTTTCTGCTTGGGAATCTTATAGTTGAAGAGAGAATAAATGCATACTTTATGTCTTTGTGAAGCCCTGGGGGCCTGGTATTTCTGTTTCTTGTAGGATTATTTTCTATCCTCTGACCTCCATTAGACTGCTTTTAAGTTCTAGGCTTTATGCAGGGTGTGCATTTCCAGCTCCCCATCTGCGTGTTGGTCATTGAATGTCCCACCTGGGCATTCAATTCCTTGCCCCTCCGGCCTGTTGTCTGCACTTGCCCTGGATCGCTGTGCTTTACCTGTGTTTTTGTCACATGAGGATTCTCACTACTGCTGCCTTAGGTCAGGCCCTATCTGGTCACTCAGCTTGTAGGTCAGTTGCCCTAAGATTTCTCTGTCTTCCACATAAACACTGATATTCTTTGCAAGATAGAAAATCATTATCTCCACAGATCAGTGTCTCCTGTTCTCCTGTGACTTGGTTTTCCCCCATCTCCCTGTGTACCAGCTTAGCTTGATTTCTCCAGGAAATGGGTTTCACTTATTTGTGCCTTGAACTACAGGCTCAGTATCCCTTGTCTGAAATAATTGGGACCAGAAGTATTTTGAATTTTGGATTAGGAATACTCAATCTGTACTTCCCAGACCGTCTGTGCCCCAATTTACTGTTTTGTTTTGTTTTGTTTGAGATAGAGTCTCACTTTGTCGCCCTTGGAGGAGTGCTGTAGCATCATAGCTCACAGCAACCTCAGACTCCAGGAATCCAGCAATTCTCTTGCCTCAGCCTCCTGAGTAGCTGGGATTACAGGTGCTCACCACAACACCTGGCTATTTTTAGAGACAAGGTCTCACTCTAGCTCAGGCTGGTCTAGTCTGCTTCAGCCTCCCAGAGTGCTGGGATTACACGTGTGAGCCTGGCCTCAATTTTTTGTCTAAAATTCAACTCAGTTGTTGCATCCTCTGTTAAGTCTTTTTGACCTGTTCTCATTTAAATGATCTTCCACTTTATTCCTGTGTGCATAGATCTGTCTTGCCTGGCACTTACCATATGGTTCGCTATATGATATTTCTTGGTTTTGAGAGCAGGTTATCATTTCTTTCTGTCTTTTCAGCTTTCATCTTTGATACATAGTAGTACTCTATAGTTCTTTGGGGTTTTTTGTTTTGTTTTTTTCTTGAGATACCGGCTCACTCTGTCACCCTGGGTAGAGTGCCATAGTGTCATAGCTCACAGCAACCTCAATCTCCCGGGCTCAAACAATCTTCTTGGCTCAGTTTTTCTATTTTTAGTAGAGATGGGGTCTTGCTCTTGCTCAGGCTGATCTGGGACTCTTGAGCTCAAGCAATCTACCTGCCTTGGCCTCCCAGAGTGCTAGGATTATGGGTGTGAGCCACTGTGCCTGGCAATAGTTGTTTGTTAAATGAGGATTTGTGTTGTGTGATAAGATGTGTACAGGCCTGCATGTTGAGTGGTAGTCACCAGAATTAAATCTGAAGAAATTGAAGAGATGATTTTTCAAGGCAACGATGTACTATTCCACATTCATGTGCCTGTTTTTCTTTTCTTTTTCTTTCAGGGCTGTTGTGTTTGTTGTGGATAGTGCAGCATTCCAACGAGAGGTGAAAGATGTGGCTGAGTTTCTGTTTCAAGTCCTTATTGACAGTATGGGTCTGAAGAATACACCATCATTCTTAATAGCCTGCAATAAGCAAGGTGCCATCATGTTTCCAGGCAATAATAACTGAGATTTGGGGAGAGGTGGTTACTACTAAGAATTAGTTTAATTATCTACAGTTGTCATTAGAGACAATTGCTGTAATGAACTATAAAATGAAGGATTTAAAATCTTAAAATTTATTTGTACTCCTACTTTTCACCAGTCTTCTTACCAGAAGACTAAAGAATGACAACCGAGCAATGCTTACCAATTTTTCTTTAATACAGTGTTTTTTTTAAATAGCCGGGCGTTGTGGCGGGCGCCTGTAGTCCCAGCTACTTGGGAGGCTGAGGCAGGAGACTCGCTTGAGCCCAGGAGTTGGAGGTTGCTGTGAGC